TTAGTTGTTGCCCCTGTCCCTCAGCAGGTCTTCAGATTCTGCAGAAGCCTGTTAATCACTCATTCATACAAATCAGATGTGAGCCCTCTCCTGTCCAATCATATGATGCCTTTGTAAGGTATCATACTGGGAAATTTACAGATGACAGTGCTGTTGTTGGACTGATTTCCAGCTATCTTAAGTCTATGCGAAGTAGAGAAACTTGCGGGATCCATGAGTAATTGWAACATTAGACTTTATTTAATAAATATATATTTTAACTGTAAAATAAAGACTGTAAAAATACTGTAGGATGTTCAGTTTTTATCATTTTCAAACTAAAAGTTTAAAAATATATTACACAAACGGGGCCATTTTATTTACACGCAAAGCATTCTGGGTAAATGATGACGTGGATTGGTCCTCAGTGCGAGGCTGCTAGCGAGCTATATCCACCCTGAAGGTTAATCTTGGACAATATCTGATGATCGACTCTTTTAAATGAAACCAGAGAGCGTTGACAGAGAGGAGAAGGTAGAAATGACTCAGCTGTAACTGAAAATATGGATGGAGGACAACAGAGCAGCTTCATGGAAGAAGAACCTCAGCTTAGCCTGTTAGCTTTAGCATTAGCCCAGACGCTATCACCATATATATGTATTAGCTCAGCGCTACACATTCTCCTCTCATCACTGAGGTCCTCCATCCACATGACAGAGAGGGGAACGCAAAAATGACTCAGCAGCAACTGAAAATATGGATGGAGGACCTCAGTTTAGCTTGTTAGTTTGTCGCGCTAGCACCGAGCTAACACATATAGGGCAATATAGTTTTGGGTCTAACGCTATCCAACTAAATTGCTCAGTTACTTAAAGCCAACAGCTCAGGTAGTAGGTCAGTTGTTCTTATCTTTCACCTTTTAAGTTTATTTTGTCGTATTTTAAGTTAAAAGTTTACCAATGATATTAGAAACAAATGGGCCACACGGGAGTCACCCACTGGCCACATGGCTGCGGGCCTTGAGTTTGACACATGTGGGCTAAGTCAACAGCCATTTTTTTCCATCCAACTGCAATGTGAATTTTAAACAAACTTTTAAAGCATCGCAAAAACAAAAAATTAGTTAATTAATTAATTTAATAAATAAATAAAACAAAAAAATGTGAAATGTGAAGCTTATGCGCAAATTCAACCTGGAACACTCCCTCCACCTCACCTGCTCCATCCAATCGCTGCGTCACGCTCCCAGCTGCAGTCAATCAGTGTCAGACCCTCGCCTCACCAATCAACTCACCGAGATCCAGGTCTAAAGGCCCAGCACCCAAAGACCAGTCTGCTCTACAGAAGTGTTCAACCCACCTCCACCTTCATCTCAGGCTCTTCCTATAGCTACCTCTTCCCTCTGGCCTCTACACCACCACCGGTGTCCGAGCCATGCCATTCCTAAAACCTAAGCTGATTGCTAGCTCACAGCAGTTCGCTGCACCCACATTTTCTGCTGGGGCTCCAGTGCCAAAGAACTTTTACATATCAATAAAACTGTTTAACTGCTATTTTTCCTGTGTATGAGTCTTTCCAGGTTGAGTTAGATGTGTTTTTATCTACAGGTTTGGAGCAAATCAACCAGGCAAAGAGTCATATCAGCCGACGTTGATGTTACTCGTGGCTGTAATAAACAGGAAGTAGAAGTTACAAACTAGCAGGGACCATACATCTGGGGACAATGGAGAGAAGTTTTCACAAATGTGTTGCTATCGGGTTTGGCAATGTTGCATGCTGCCCAGAGACGTAAAGAAAGAAATGTAAATCTTCTGGAAATATCCAGAAAGACGCTGAAAGTGGAAACAGTTGATCAATCACATGGTGTCCATGTTCGCTACATCAGAACATCTGGAAAATGTGTTTCCGTCTTCCTTTTTGTGCATTAAATCTTTGGAAAATCCAAAAGCCACTTCAAGCGAGCGTAARAACATTTTTGTGAAATTGAGGAAGTTTTTTTTTTTCACTTCTTTGCCATTTCAATCAACCTTTTCTAAAGCGATACTTCAAAATGCGCTTAACAAAAGATGATGGAAACATGGCTAACCTTTGTCAGCACACCCGTGCTTGTTTGTGTGACTGTGTCCTAAATGCAACAAGAACAAAATTTTATCATTTTCAATGGATCAAAATCAGTTGAACACATTTCACAAACATGTGAACTGTTTCTTCTTTGTTTAGTTTCTTATATTGAATGAATTTGGTTCAAATTAGACTAATTGCATTTTTGGTTTTAGTTGAACTCCTCTCACATTCACACTGTACATAAAATTTACTGAAACATGATACTGGGGTTAATAAAGTAGGTATGAGGGTAATTACTTTGGCATGAGTTTAAGATTCCTAAATGCTTACAGACAAAATGTCCACATGTTAATGATTTTAATGAGTTGTTTTCTCTGAAGTTTCATTACGAGCGTCATGGCTTTATTCAACATGACAATCAGAGCCAAAGAGGCAGCGCACTGCAATGAAAACTGACCTAAAATCTTATAATCAGTTTGTCTGTGGTCTGATAGATGACGCTTCCATTGTTGTCTCGTAGGTGTCGCAGAGAGGTCACATTTTTATCATTATTGCGTTGCTCAGACGAGAACATTCCTTCACTGTCGAGATTTTCATTAAACAGAGTTGAAAATCTGAAGAAGTTGTTTATGAACAAGTGATTCAGATTTCTAAGGAGTTCATAAATCTCATAACACAAAAAAATATGAACAAAAAGAAAAAAGTGGGACTGAAATAGCAACGACAATAAAACAAGGATTTTTAAAAACAAACAAAGGTATCTCAAAAATGTATCGGGCTTAAAATTATACAATTTGTTTACAGCGGGGATTCATTCTTTCAATTCCACCTACCGAGCCAAAACAAACAACTTAAGCTCTTAAGCAGATGACAATACACACCGTAACAGACACAAGCTCCTACTTGCAGCGAGGCAAATAAGCACTTGCTGTTCGAGCTCCTGTCCTTGTGAGGTGAGCTCAGAGGGATCTACTTTTTGACAAGCCACCATTGAAAATAATGACTTTAGTTCAGTGTTGGTGTCTCACTGCAACACAAACAGATCATTAAAGCAAAAATCAAAACATTCACATCAGGAAAAACATGTGGGAGCTCTACACTTTTTTTACAAAAAACAACAGCTTGCACACACAACAGCGCACGTCGGTGACAAAGTTTCAGTGGTATGAGGATGATGTCAACACTGGCCTGCAGGTGTGTTTACCTGTTCACCTTCAGCTGTTAMACAACAACATGGAAAGCTTTTGTTATTCTGGACGTACAAACTAAACTAGCAGCGACAAAGATCAATTATCTAATTAACTCGTTCAAATAGGGCGAGGTGATAATGTGCGCACACATAAGCGCAAAGCAAACAACAATGAAACAAAACTTTTGAAAGTTTTAGGACTTTAGATTTGTATGCAACTTTTAACAGACAGAATATGCATACTTCACCTCAGCCTGAGCCATGCGAGCGTTATATTCTAATAAATCAAAACAAGCAATGAGCTTCCTTGGCACAAAGCACCAGGAAGAAGAAAAGTTTGTATGAGCAGGAAAAACAGCCTAACACTGGACTGGGTGTAAAACTTGGCAAGGACAGCTGGGGTTCTTACTTCAGCAGGAAGCCTTTTATTTAAAAGGCCATTTTAATAATGTATTTTGTCTGCACTTTTTAAACGGTCCATGCCAGCGGGATGATGTGTTTTATTGTTGAAAAGGTGCAATGTCATGAAGACCGGTTCAGGAAAAAAAAATCATAAAGGTACTTTTTTGGTTGTTTCCCTCATATCTTAAGTTGTCCTTGAAATAAAATAAAATTAAAAAATGGTTGTAAACAGTATGCGTTATTTTGTATTTTTTTATTATTTTTTTATTTTTACCTATGAAAACAGCTCAAGTGGGATGGAAAATTTTCACACATTTGGTGTTTTTGTACTCTCAAATTTACTACATACAGTATGCAGATGAAAAATATTTTAAGTCGAAACAGTAAGACGTGTCACAAACGTGTTTGTGTTTGACTCTTCACTACCCTGATTTGATCTCCAGCATTTATCATTGGCAGTGCATGCTTGTCAAATTCCATCATATTTGCTCACCTCTATCAGGGTTGCCAGATAATATATAGCAAAATAGGCTATTTTTAAATTTATGAACTCCTCTTATTTTGACCACAACTGTATGTGTTGAGTGAGGGTGTGTTTTCTTGCCCGGAATGATGTGGGGGGCCTAAAGATGAGGTGTGTGTTGTAAATGGAGAGAACATGGTGAGCACAGTCTGGTTGATTGGATCCGACTTTCTGATTTTTAGTCATTTTTGGTATAAGGAAATACCCAAACTCTCTCTATATATTTTTGTATTTTAAAGATATTTATTGTATATTGTACAGACTCTAAAGCTTTGTGTAAAAACAATAATTAATGTGTATCTGGCGACACAGACCATATACTGTATGTCCAGCCTCGAGCTTTCAGGTGTTTTTAGGTAGATCCTGCTTCATTTTCATGAAGTGTAAATCCACATTTCAGACATTTAGACATAAATGTTTCTTAACATATGAGGTAAACTCACAACAAAATTTGATATGAATCTGATATTTTTATTTTTTCATATTTGCAATTAGTAACTTTAAAACATATTTGTGCCTCCTAAAATATAAAGCTTGTTTGAAACGCAGGAGATGTACGCCCTCTTGTTGTTTCATGTGAAATTGGACTCAGACTACGATGAATCACATTCCACAGGTAAGAATGGGATGTACAGAATGCAGCAATGAGATAAATGTCCTCACCTGTTAATTGATGTCTGATAACTGCTAAATGCTGGTTTTTGTTTTATCGTCACGCGCACACAATGCTTTCTGACTTTCCTGATCTTTTTTGAAACCGTAGCTCCGCCTCTTTTGGGTGGGTCCTCAGGTAACTCTGATATAAGCTGTTGCTCATGCTCTGTGAGGAGATAAGATCGGCTTCTGTGCTCTGGCAGGTATGACTGTAAAGACACATTTCTTTGGAGACTGCTCAAGGCACCGCGCTTCTTGACGCACGAACGGGTTTTACGCACAGAAGTCTTTTGTTTGTTTTTTTTAGACTGAACCGTGGTGCTGACCTCTGTAAGGATGAAGTTAGAGGTGTTGTGTGGGAGTCATGACATGAAACATTTGGGACTGATCGGTGGTGCAGAAGGGAAGTCTTCCTCTGCCGAGGAGGAGCTGGGGTCGGATGGAGACTGCGTGGCGCACAGCCCCTCGCCTCCCGCTACTCCGTGTGGGAACAGCAAGTCCAAGCCGTACACACGGAGACCCAAGCCCCCGCTTTCGTACATCGCTCTCATCGCCATGGCCATCCGGGACTCCCCCTCGGGACGCTTGACTTTGGCGGAGATCAACGACTACCTGATGAAGAAGTTTCCCTTCTTCAGGGGCAGCTACACCGGCTGGAGGAACTCGGTGCGGCACAACCTCTCCCTGAATGACTGCTTTCTCAAAGTGCTCCGGGACCCGTCGAGGCCCTGGGGGAAGGACAATTACTGGATGCTCAATCCGCAGAGCGAGTACACGTTCGCCGACGGGGTTTTCCGGCGCAGAAGAAAGCGCATCAGCAAGAAGTTCAGCCTGGAGCCGGAGGTCTCGGAGCCCGTGGAGGAGTCGCAGATTCCCCACACAGCTGCCCCCACCACCGTGACTGACCCCTGCCCCAGGTTTACCAGCTCGTTTGCTATTGACAGCATCCTCAGTAAGCCATTCAAAAGAGACTTAAACGAGCGGCACTTCCCTCTGATCCCTGCGTTCATGTGGCCATCCTACACTGAACCTCTGCTACGTCACAACGCACCTGCCTTGTTCCCTTATTAAAGCCCTGTCACCTGGACTCTGCTGCTTTCAGGATCAAAGAACATCAGAAACAAAGCAGACTTGTTGTTTCGTGATGAAACCAGTTACTGTGCACTGAATGTAGATACAAGACAGCAAACAAACACAAAGGACAGCTTAAAAAAACCATTATGGTTTTGCGGTGACACTTGAACTTCATATTTGTTTACCTTCTGTTTGTCTCTTTTTAAAGCTCAAACTGCTGTTTTACTGAGCACATGTACTTGCTGTAAATGTTACTGAATAAACTATTAACTTTTTATGTCCAACAATGGACTTCAAATGCATTTTGAGTGTTTGGTTTTTCTGTTTCTCTTTCAAAATAAATAAATCATAAAAGTTGACATTTTAATAAAAAAATAATTTATTATGGTTTGGACCATGTGTTTACTTTTGTTTCATAATGACTTGAAAAGTTAAGACAAACTATGGAGCCAAACAGGGTCAGAATCCAGCGATCTGTTTAGTTGTGAAAGTAATAAAATGTTGCGGTTTGTTCATGTTGTTCCATCTAAAACTGAAGCACTTCTAATGATCAGAGACCATGATTGATGTGATTTTAATAATAGTAATAACTGTAATAATAATAATAATAATAATAATAATAATAATAATAGCTCTAAGTTCAGACAGTAGAAAGCCTCATGATGCTCACAACAGCTGTGCGTCAATCATTGCGCATGTGCAGAAAAGCTCATGTTTCTTGGTCTGCAACAAACTGAGTTCAGATAAATATATAAGTAACTGGTATCATCATGCCAGTATCTTTTTCCTAAGGAGTTCAGTGGTTGCTGGTGTTTATTAAGCTTGCATNCTCGTGAACTGTGTAAACAGCCCAGGGCGGTGGAAAAAGTTCATGCCCGGGTCCATGTAAGGAGAAACCAGCGGAGCCCTGCAGGCCGCCGCGCGGACATTTAATGAGTCCGGCCTGAGGAGGATTACAGCGGGACCCGGACTGGAAGGTCGCCTCACCATGATCAGGACCAGTTTCAGGCGCCGGGTCTCTGAACAGGAGGGCGATAGGAGCCTGGAGGCCTGCGGAGTCAGGCTGATCAGAATACTGTTTTATCTTCTGAATTATAAACCCCTCCAAGCCTCAAACTCCCTCATTTCACCCAATACCTTCAACATAAAATCACATTGGAAATCTTGAAGCTGTGATATGAATAAAAAAAAGGATAGTTTTTTTCTGAAGAAAATAATAAAAAGTCTGCTAATAATTTCGCATAATAGTCCAGCCTGGTTTATTTAGTCCCTCGTGGGGCCTCCGACAAAATCAAACATTTTGATAAAAGCGCACATGGCTTTAATTGGTTCTTATGGCTGCTTCTCTTGAATAAATTCTCGCATCAACAACCTAAAAACTTTCCATTCAAACTGTTTTAATGCTTGTCCTAAATTTAGCATTAAATTTAACTGCCTTCCGCTTTCATGTTTAATTCACAGGTGTTTATTTTCACCATTTGTTTCACTTGCATATCTGAAGCGCTGCATTCAATGTTTATAACTTTTTTTTAAATCAAAGCACTTTTTATTCCTAAAAAATATAAAATCCATTTATTGAGTATAATGTATCCTATTATTTGATTTTTTTTTAAATGATCTTTGAATATGTAAAGTATTAAACAGACTTTTAGGACTGTTTCCCCCTTTCAAACTATAGAGATGCACTTTGCAGGAATGTGCTTCCATGATCGGACGGCGCGCATGTCGCGTCTGAAGGTTTTGCCAAGCCAGGACAGGCAGTTTGACCGACAACCTCCTGAAGCTTTTCTTTAAAAAAACCCACGAGTGTGGGCCAGCAGCTCCCTGCTCGCGCCGCTCTTCCTGGCTTCCCATTGGACGAGCCGCACACTCTTGTGAGGGGGGAGGCGGGGCTTCCCTGTTAGAGAGAGGAGGGGGGAGATGGAGGGGGAACAAGGAGGAAAGAATTTAACTGCGCAAAAAGTCCTGTGTGGTGACGGATGTCCAAAGTTCAGAACTTTTTCAATGCGCGTCTCATGCGGACTGAAGGATGGGGACGGCTTAAACTGCGCTTTTCTCTGTTTCAATTTTCATCTTTGCTCAAAGGAACTGTGTTTTTGATCTTATTTTACGCACAGCAGCGCTCAGAGGAGGGAGAAGCGGAACTTCATTTTTTTCCGAGGGGGGGATATTTTGGAGTTTTATCCTCGACATGCAGGCTCGCTACTCCGTCTCCAGTCCCAACTCTCTGGGCGTCGTACCCTACATCAGCAGCGACCCGAGCTACTACCGGGCAGCAGCCGGAGGGGGCTACACGGGGATGCCAACACCTATGAACATGTACTCTCACGCGGCGCATGACCAGTACCCGGCCAGCATGGCCCGGGCGTACGGACCGTACACCCCCCAGCCTCAGCCTAAGGACATGGTAAAACCCCCCTACAGCTACATCGCGCTCATCACCATGGCCATCCAGAATTCACCGGACAAGAAAGTGACCCTGAACGGGATTTACCAGTTTATCATGGAAAGGTTTCCGTTTTACCGAGACAACAAGCAGGGCTGGCAGAACAGCATCAGGCACAACCTGTCGCTCAATGAGTGTTTCGTCAAGGTGCCCCGCGACGACAAAAAGCCCGGCAAAGGCAGCTACTGGACCCTRGACCCGGACTCGTACAACATGTTTGAGAACGGGAGCTTCCTGAGGCGGAGGCGGCGGTTCAAGAAGAAGGACGCGCTGAAGGAGAAGGAGGAGCGGCTGCAGAAGGACCTGCCGCCCCGGCAGCAGGGCCGCGGTGAGTCGGAGCAGACCGTGCAGGGCTCCCAGCCCGTCCGGATCCAGGATATTAAAACCGAGAACGGCGCCGTGACTCCGCCGCAGGCCGACTCGCCCTCCCTGAGCACCGTGCCCAAAATCGAGAGCCCGGACAGCAGCAGCAGCATGTCCAGCGGCAGCCCCCACAGCATCCCCTCCGGCAGGTCGATCCCCGGCATGGACAGCTCCGAGCACCACCAGCACCACGGCCAGGCTTCCACGCAGGGCTTCAGCGTGGACAACATCATGACCTCCCTCCGGGGTTCCCCACAGGGGGTCACCGAGCTCACCCCGGGTCTAAGCGCCTCCACCAGGACGGGTATAACGCCATCTTTGTCCCTAAACTACTCCCCCAGTCAGACATCAGCGTATAGCTCACCCTGTAACCAAAACTCCATCTCTACTACCTCCAACGCGACCTATCACTGCAACATGCAAGCCATGAGCCTTTACACTGGGGACAGGTCAGGCCACTTGGCACCGAGCACCGTGGACGAAACGCTGCCAGACTACTCCGTCACAACGACCTCGTCTTCCCTGAGCCACAACCTAAACTCCGGCCAGGAGGGCCATCACAGCCACCAGGGCAGGCTGGCCTCGTGGTACCTGAACCAGGCCGGAGACCTGGGCCACCTGGGCGCGTCCTACCCGGCTCAGCAGCAGAACTTCCACTCGGTCCGAGAGATGTTTGAGTCCCAACGGATCGGCTTGAATAACTCCCCGGTGAACGGGAATAACAGCTGTCAGATGTCCTTCCCTCCGAGCCAGTCCATCTACCGCACGTCGGGAGCTTTCGTGTATGACTGCAGCAAGTTCTGACCAAAGAAAAAAGGACAGGGAAAAAAATGGAGCAAACAAAAGACAAAAAATAAATAAATAAATAAATAAATAAATAGGGGATGATTGTTTGTTTAAACTCATAATTTGTCAGGTAATATTTCAAAGTATCAGGTTGTCAAACGTGGAATTTTAGAAAGTGAGAAGTAGGAGGAGGTTTGTCTTACTGCGCCTGTGTCCGGCTTTTTGTTTGGATTTTGGCCATGGGGAGGGGAGAGGTTCTTTGCAATTTCTTCGAGGAATTTAGTGGGGGAATGGGGTAGGAGGGGGTGAACGGGATTTGTTTGGTGGTCGAGTTGAGTTTGGACGGGGGGGTATGCGTAAAGTGGAAGATCTTTATCGTCCCTCTCCTCCGGGATGATTGAGAGAGGAAGGTCTGTGGAGGTTGGATGGGTTTGGGGTTATAATCTCGCAAAGCTTCGCGCAAGAACGATCAACCTGTGACATGTTGCATTTTGGAGAACTTTTTATCCAWACTTAAAAAGTGAGTAGAAGCAACTTCTTTTTTTTTAAAACAAGTGTTTGGAGTCCGGAACAGAAGCATGGCGAGCGAGATTCCCTTGCAACATCTGGATCCCCGTGTCCCTGTGCGCTCTGGTTCAGCTGCTGGTGCCGCGCAGCTGTGCGCACAGCCGGCAGTGGAGAGCGGTCAGAGCGCAATWAAAGAGAAAAAGGGAAACCCGAGCTTGAGGCGCCCTGAGAAGCCCCCTTACTCGTACATCGCTCTCATCGTGATGGCCATCCAAAGCTCACCGAGCAAAAGACTCACTTTAAGCGAGATTTATCAGTTCTTGCAGGCCCGCTTCTCTTTCTTCAGAGGAACGTACCAGGGATGGAAAAACTCCGTCAGACACAACTTGTCCCTGAACGAATGTTTTATAAAGCTGCCAAAAGGTCTGGGGAGACCTGGAAAGGGTCACTACTGGACCGTCGACCCGGGCAGCGAGTTTATGTTTGAGGAGGGCTCCTTCCGCCGCAGACCGCGGGGGTTCCGGAGAAAATGCCAAGCTTTGACGCCGATGTACCGGATGATGAACGGAWTTGGCTTTGGCGCGTCTGTGCTCCCTCAGAGCTTTGATTTCCAATCCGCTTCAGGTTCGTTAGCATTTCACAACAGCTACAACTTAGACCTGATGGGTAATACAGTGCCAGGTGGATTTGAGGGGCTGGGAGGGGGGCATCACGTCCCGCATGTCTCATCAAGCTCCGGATATATGGCCGCCTCTAACTCGGACTGTTACCCGGACAGCAGCAGCAGCAGCAGCCCCCTGCAGTCCTCAGCAATGGTGGGCTCGTTGGACTGTCAGCATCAGTATGCAAATGCAGCTTCGCACTGGAATGCGCCTGCATCCTCCTTCATCAAACAGCAGGCTCAGAGCGCGTCATCTCATCCTCTGGATCACAGCTACCTGCACCGCAGCGCGCGAGAGGCACCTTACGCTTCAGGTAAATCCTCACTTACATGTTTTACCTTTTTTTGGTGACTTACACAGATTTTTTTTCCCTTGAAGACATTTCACTGCACCTGACTACACGTTGAAATTAAGACAAATAGCCTGTTTTTGGTTTTAACTACATTTTGAGCAAGTGAAACGGATCAAGGAAGAAAATGCGCATTAGGGTAACTTCTGTTTAGATGCAACTGGGTGGATCTAAAAACGATCCAATATATAAATAAATAACTTCTGACTAATACAAACAATAGTTTATTTGCAAATGTAGTTTTAATGGTTTACGATGCAACACAAAACTGCGCGCAAATTATGAGCAATTGCTGCGCAAAATGGTTTTCAGCTTATTGCATCAAAGGCATGTTTTGACATCAAGTATTTATAATACACAAATGCATGAAAAAGATGAAAAAAAAAGACACAAAACACAAACTAGACAAGATTTTTTTAATTGTTAAAAATGCAGCTCAGGTTTTTGAGGCCTTTTAAAGTGATCCAGTGTACAATGGTAAAKAAAATGTAAGCTTTAGTGTATCAATATTATTTTTAAAATTATTAACTTTATTGTAAAATGCAGCCTCAGTAAATTTTGATTTTATGATGCTTTTTTCCCTGATTCCTAATGATGATATTTCCTTAGTTGATTGGATGAAATCTTTTGTAATTGTTTTAGTGTACGCTTTCATTTAAAAGTTAAACATGTTTATGACAAATCATCAAAATATCAGCTTACAGTTTCATAAAATCAATTTCAAAATCATTAATTACCTCAMTTGTTTCTAAAAGCTTTTTTGGGAGCAGTGGTATGCAGTTAAAGATGTATCTTGAACATATATAAAGTTTATCACTTTTATTTGAAAACCATCACTGGCCTGAATCTGCTGACCTGTTTGTTCGCAGGAGGACTGTCTCGATTTTCCAGCCCCTCAGCTGCTCCTGTTCGGGACAGGAAGGAACTGATTTTAAACCTAAATGGATTCTCTTCCCTCCATCCCAGCAGCGGAGGATCTTATTCCCATCAGCATCATCACCATCATCAACAGAGCGTTTATCAGGACGTGAAGATAAATGTGATGTAACAAGAAGAGGAGAATGGGACTAACTAATAACATTTTTTTGTAACATGACTGGATTTTTTCTCTTTACATGTTTGACGTCACACACAAGCGAAATAAATTCAGAAAAATGTGAATTACTCATACACTCACATTTTATTTTCTTGCTGTTTTTTTCTGCTGATTTTTCAATTAGATAATTTTAATGTTCTAACAGTTCTGTTTCAAACAATGCACGTTTCCTGTAGCATTTATTTTTATATCTAAATCTGATTTAAGCAGCAACAAAACCACTGATTTGTGGCAGGTCAGTACAAATAAAACAAAAACAAAACAAAAAAAAAGCTAAACAAGTTTATATTTTAAATGAAAACTGAAAAAAAGTATTTTCAGTTCTCATAAATAGCCTACATGACCACTTCTTCAATCAGTAGAAAAATATGTCCATTTTCCCTCCAGCTACCAAAGGAATAATGCAAATGTCAATTATATATTTTTATATATTGAACGAAAATAAGCAAATTTCTGAATTTCTGATTTTTTTTTTCTCTTTGGGGCTGTTTTTCCTGCTCAGTTTTTCTGTGATGTATGACGTTATCGCTTTACTGCCTCATATCTTTGCAGTAAACAGAAGTAACCTCGGCCCAGTTCACTTGACTCACACTGYCACCTTGTGGCGACAAGAAGCTAAAGCAGGTCAAATATGTTGACCAGTTTAGGTCTCTCAGGAAACACTGACCCTTTCTGTCACAGTAACATTATGTTTATCGTATATATAAAAGCATAACATTAGTCTATAAAGTAACTGAATTACTGGGTGCTTTTMTAGAATAAAATCAAAATTAGACAGTGAACTGTTTATCAGCCTGAATCTATGTCAACTTAAATTGGACTGAGGCAAACTCTACGTATGGGTTTCACATTTGACAGTAGTTTTAGTCATGCAGTTTCAGTTTTTGTTATATTTTGATAGCCATGCTACCATTTAAAAATTAAAAAATTGTCCTGAAAATAAAAAATAATAATTTTGCTATTAAATTCTCTTATATTACACAGTCACACAGAAAATGGTGATTATTAGTAGAAGTTTTGAAAACATGTACAAACAACTTAAAATTGTCTCAGGGATTGAAAATGAAATATAATCAGACAATTTTCTGCTTTAACTGTTTACTAAGAACACAAAGAAAATCAAGAACTCTAATGGATCATTTTCATTTACTTTTAGTGGGTTAGGCAGAATTTCTGCTGTGTTTATGTGCAAAATCATCATGCCTAAACATTAAAAAAGTTTACAGTGACCCATGGTTTTAGCTATAGTGATCACAAATGCATATTTGAAGGCCTTATAAAACCTTGGTTTGGTTTTAAAATGAGCATCAGACCTAACAATCAACAGCCTGCATGTGATCTGATGGGCTACCTGACGTTACATGATTAATGCTGCAGTAAAGCTACAGATAATCATTATCTGAATGATCAACTTAAGCCACCCACAATCATTTTGTCAGTGAAAAAGAAAGGTTGCTCAACCAGAAACACCTTTAAATCTGGTTCCTTCTTTTTTTTTGGCCAACGTGTTGCATATTTGCTGCTCAACTTTTGATTACAATAAGAACTGTTTTTAATAGAATAACTAACTTCACTCATCTAAACCATGTTTTATCTTTCCAGATGTCAACAACTTTATAAGTTCTTTAAATATATAT